TGTGTGTGTGAGGTACTACGGTATAATAGGCTTTTGTCTAACCGAACGCTTTTTTGTCTATCGGAATCTGGTATCGTGTAACTTTGTATATAGTAAAAGTGATTAGATGCCAACGATATATGTGAGTTTACACGTTCGTACAAGAGACAGACAACTGGGAAGAAGAGAGGAAGCGTCAAGAGAGAACAAAGACATCAGGAATAAAAGGTTAGAACACACTAGATGGTAAATCGTGTCAGTAAACAAGGGAGAATGATGATAAAAAAAAATCTGTTATTACTTAAAATCAAAATAAAATCTGTTTTTATATTTAATTGGAGTAAAAAAAAAAATCTGTGGTGTGTTGATTAAAAATATTATTGTACTGCCATTTAACTAGTGACGGCTGGTTGGCTCTGTCTGTCTGTAAGCTGATGTGTTGATTAGATTAGATCATACGCTGGACATAAACAATTAAACAAAACAAAAGAGCATCATCACTCTGGTTAATTGCTTGGAAATAATTACTTGTTCGTTTGTTTCTTTGTTTTTCTGCTGATGAGTACGACAATGTTGGGAGCCAGAGAGCCAGTCACTAATACTAACATGTACTCGTCATCGTCCGGTACACTAAACCTAACCTAACCGAACCGAACTTAATATATCTGCTGCTTCTCTTTAATTTACTATTGGATATTATTCGATAAACTCTGTTGCAGCGCCATGACACTCATAGCTTCAAAACCCATTCAAAATAATAATCAAGAGACGAACTTACATAAGGCCCCCCCAGACGTGACGCAGGAGGGTGGACTTACCAGGTACTGCCAGACCGCTCGTTAGGAATCAGCGGTTCTTTCATTCCTAGCTACTCTGTTAATTCACCGCGATGCAATTCAATTCAATTTCAATTGTTTATTCCTTGATAGAGGAAGCGGGATCCTAGTGCTGTCACTAGGTACCCCTGTACAATGACACCAGAAGCATCTGGCAAGTGTGACAAGTATACACAGTATAAATATTATAAAGGGGCTTACTAAAGCCTAAGGAAGGAAGGATATTCCTTTAACACATAATCAATATTATTTACAAAATATCTGGCCAGTGTGGGGAGGATCATCGTGTCTCCGTCAGGGGGTCGTGGAGTGGTGGTCCAGCAGGCGTCACGGAAGCGTTGTGTGTGGGGACATCTTAGGAGGTAGTGGATAAGGGTGCGGCTGTCGGGTCTTCTGCATAATGCACAAGAGCGTTGCTCAGGGGATGCGGGGATACCAATCTCCCAAGCAAAGTCATACCCAATGATGATACGGGCAGCAATCACGTCCCCTTTCCGCGACCCTTTCCCGTAGACGTACGAGAGGTCAGGAAGTTTACGGAGGACATCGTACCAGGTGGGCGGGGAGTCCAGGGGGATGGCTGCTTCCCGAGCTTCTCTCTGTTTGCGGCGAATTTGGGTCCTAATCTGTAAAAGTGTTCAAGGAACAACGTAGTCAGGTGTGGCCTTGTTGCAGCTAGTCTTGGCAAGGCCATCTGCTGCCTCATTCCCCAAGATACCGACATGACTGGGTATCCAGCGACGCAATTATTTTTTTTTCTGTCGGCAGGAAGTTAATAATAATAATAATAATAATAATAATAATAATAATAATAATAATAATAATAATAATAATACCCAGTCAAATACGTTAGTCATTCCTTCACGGTTTTCCCCCCTCTCACACACGCCTACTGTCTTCCCTCTCATTATCTCTCCCTCTCTCCCTCTCACTCGACCGTCCTCTACACCTACTCTCACTTACCTACAGCATACAATGTCCGAAGTGGTATTTTTGCCTCCAGAATCAAGAGAGAGATTTGGTTCTGCAACAACAAAAGACTTTTTTCTATTAATCGGCTTTTATCTAGAGGAGTCCGGTATCTTATAACATCATCCGGTTTTGGTATATTACAAAAGCGATTTACAGTTAATGAGATGCATGTTTACTCGTATTTACAGGACTTTAAAAAACAAACAAATATCGAGAGATATTCATAAACAAAACAGTAAGTGTTATTGGTGCGGGCGACCCAACCACCTGTTATAATAGATCACGTCAATAAACAAGGTTACGTCATGGTCAAATTTTAAAGTCGGGTTATATTCAGAATCATGTGATAAAGTTTATTAAATACATTAGTAATGGATAAAGTTTTGGGCGTCTGGTGTGATGTTAATATTCCTCTTATTCAGTGAGTAATTTATGTAAACTCGCGAGTAACATGACTAACTCTCCTGTACAGTGTAGTCATTTCCTTGTGGTGTGTGAGTTTTGTCCAGCCAGTAAGAGCGAGGCCAACAACTTCTGAGAGGATTTATTTTTTTTAAAGTTAATGGTAGTTTAAAGATGATGGGATAAGGCATCACCCATTGTGGTTTGTTAATATAATCTCGAGTAACAGTTTCTTGTGTGATTTATTAGCAAAAAGGAATGAATACTTCTATACGTATACTGTATTTTGAATATATCTTTACTTAGGTTAGGTTCGGTTATGTTATGTTACGTTACGTTCAATACTGGATATTTTCAGGTTAAGTTATTATTACTGATTGTTCTGGTGACCTTTTCTGCACCGAGCTGACGAGACGGAGTGCCCAACATCACATCCCAAGCTACTGGTACCACAGCTGTAGTCAAGATGTGCCACAACAGTACTCGTAAGGCCATCTGAGAGTGTACTCGCGTTACACAAATAATTGGCATCTGGTAGTTATTTCAGTAATGATTTTGGTCACCTTGATAGTGTGTGGTGTTACTCAGATGGTGTTTATTGTGGTGATTACTTTGGTATGGGATGATGGGCAGATGTAGTGAGTGTTCGTATGTCCAGCTCCATCAAGTCAGCCTGTAGGGGAAGGGGATTCTCAGAGCCAGGACGTGTTGGCCCCTGACAGTAAAGATGAAAGACGGGAGATGGAATAATATAAGAGAAGAGGAAGAATAGAAGAGAAGACAGTTGATGTGAGATTTTGAAGACGTGAAGGTTGTAGTCTGTAGGGGAAACCGAAGGAAAAATTATTGTTGCAGAATATTGCTGTGTGAGGAAGAAAGGATGTTGCCTACTGTCTGTAATTGTTGCTATTGTGCAGATCACCACAGTAGGGGCAACGTGGCGGGGATCAGAGAGGTCACTGACGGTCGACCAATTTAGGGGTGAGCGACACTGGTCATTTGTGAAGGACAGTAACCCAGGAGTGACTGGGGGAGTACTTCGTCTAAAAAAATAAAATAAAATAAAATATAAAAAAATAATAAAAATCCTTCGTCTAATATTTGGAACATTATAATCGAGAAGTTTTGCTATATAGAAATTCCTGTCTCTACTAGATCACAATTCTTCTCTCTGCTCTTCATTGTCGATCATCACTTTTACAGAGTTCCTAAACACAGCAGAGTTGTTACACTGAGTCAGAATTTTGAGATTTTACTCACAGATCTGTATCATATTTTTATACATTTGAACTTGGTGTTTAATCTTCTGTACAGGTAAGTTATTATAAGCTCTTGGTTAGGTCAGGTTAGGTTAGGTTAGGTTAGGTCTCTCCTGCAGCTCAGAGTCCATTTCCTCCAGGGCGAACTCTAGTGAACTGTTTGGTGGTGTTTGTACTCGGCTCCTTCCCTAGTTTGTACTCTGGGTAGAACTTGGGTCTGAATGGTTGATGTGGACAACCGGGCAAGTCTATTATCAAGGGGCGGCGATCACTGGTGTTGATGTTTGTTTGTTTCTTTGTTTCTCCTTACATTTGTTTTAGGTTTATCTGACGCGGTTCTGGTCAGGTATGTGGTTAGGTTAGGTCAGGTCAGGTTAGGTCAGGTCAGGTCAGGTTAGGTTAGGTTTACCAGCGAGTCTTCTGTTTGTCTGCCTTGAGTCTTATGTTCTATCCTGTACCCCCCACACACGCACACACACCCCCACACACACACACACACCACACACACACACACACACACACACACACACCACACACACACACCACACACACACACACACACACACACACCCACACACACACACACACACACACACACACACACACACATACACACACACACACACACACACACACACACACATACACACACACACACACAGGCTCGTCTTGGTTCCACCTGGCGGGTTAAGTCTTATTTTTCCGGCCTCCAGTCTGGCCTTCCCTCAATTCGTTCCTCTGTTTAAATTGGACCCGAATCTCATTATATATACTTTTAACCTCCAATTTATTTTATTCTAAACTAAGATAAAACACAAGTGTACCAGGATATTTCTTGTGCAATTTCTTATAAATATTTAAAAGTAAATTTAGAATATTTCGTATTCCTGAACAAATGACAAAGGTTCGAGGTTAGACAATTGCGAATGAAGTAAATTATTAATTCAGTCATATTTTATTCAATATTTTTTTTTGCATTATTCGTCTTACACACATAATGTTTTTTCTTCACATTCTCCAAATATTTAAAGTTTTATCAAGTCTTTTCTATTTTTGTATAATTTCGTTGTTTTATTTCATTCTTATAGTGTCTTTATTTAAACTATTTACAAACCTAACCTAACCTAACCTAACCTAACCTAACCTAACCTAACCTAACCTAACCTAACTTAACCTAACCTAACACAGAGTAAGACATTAATCACAAGGAAGTATAGTGTGTCTCCCAGCAGTAAGGCTTTACACAATTCGATTTACATGCAAATCAGATAATCTTATTTTTATTGTTTCCTGTGTTGTGTGCAATGTTCTGCTGCTGTTAGTGTTTTGTGTGCGTGTCTGTGTGTTACTTGAGTGTTACTGTCAATAGTGATGTGTGTGTGTGTGTGTGTGTGTGTGTGTGAGCAGCAATGTACACAGGATGATCACCTTCCTCTGATTGGTCAAGTGAACTTAAATAATACCCCTGTGGTATGGGTGACAGGTGGCGCGGTGGTGTGGGCGGGGTAACAGCAGGGTGGTTCAGTCAGCTCCGGGCGGGCGCGGGGTGAGGGTGTGTGAGGTGTGTCGTCGTCAGCCAGTGCGTGAGGTCGCTCAGTATAAATAAACTGCTCAGGGAGAGATGCTATAAACTCTCCACTTAATTGCCATTGACGTTAGAAATATTGGACCTTTTGAGAGTGATGAGTGGAGAGCTCTGGTCGCCTCTCTGTACTGTTTGAAAGTGAAAAGTTTGATCAGAAAACTCTTAATTCTGCGTCAACTTGAGGGAAGGTCATTAGTACTAAGGTATATACATATATGTTTGATTAAATGGTCTAATTATTTATTTTTTTATAGTTAATATTGATCGATGAGTGTAGGGGAAAGTTATGTTTATGTTTGTATCGCCACACTAGTTCAGCTACCTTCACCCTCTGTGTGTTACTAGGTCACCTGTACTGTGGCCATGTGATACTCTAGTTGTTTATGTTGTACAAAATACCTGTGTTATCGTTTGTATTTGTTAACTGTTACATAGGCTACGTCATGTTACAGGTGACTGTTTTGTTATCTGGGTCACCATCTGCCTCTTGTCACAAATTAACGTAAGTTACATTTACCTGTGTCATGTATTACCGTGTATCTGAATCAGTAAACACACACACACACACACACACACACACACACACACACACACACTTGATAGCGATAGCTTCTAGTATTTCTCTTTGGAAACTTTTCACTGGGGCCCTATAAACGAACATGTAGATTATCAAAATACATACTGTATACTGTATAAATAAATAACATCATACAAACCTAACCTAACCTAACTACTTTACAGTATATATCATTTGGCTGTGGTGTGATGGTAAACGACGCCTTAAATGAAAAACAAAAAATTTAATCATATACGAATTAATTTTCATTAACTTAAAACAATAAAAACAAAAGATGATCTCTCTCTGGCAAAAACGTTGGCTGCTTTTTAAAGCTTAGTCGGTGATTATCCATATTTAGCTTTACACACACACACACACTCACTGTATGGGATTATTGTGAATTAGCAATAATTCACATAACTTATATTTTTTTCAGAAATACACAGAGGTGTGTATGCAGGGAGGAGCATGTGGATAATTACAGTATAACTATATAACCTAACCTAACCTAACCTAAACTAACCTAATTCAAGTATGATTAATTATGATAGCAGACCAAACGACGTCTTAAAAACAAATCCAATCCTGTTTTATATCAATCGATTTCCAGTAATTTACAGCAATAACCACACACATTATCCTATTGTGGTAAAAAAAAAAGTCATTTAGGGTTTACGGCTTAATGGCAGATTATCCCGCATTAGCCTGTCATTATAGAAATAAACATAACCCTAAAATAACATAGATGAAATATGACCCAACACTGAGGGTCTCTAGTGTACAAGTAACCCGATTTTTTCTACCTCACTCTCTAATCGGTCACGGCTGAAACTTAAACTCTCCAGATTTCAATTTAAATTAACTATTCCCGCTCGTGGCCGCCTCGCACCTATAAATTTTTCATTCCTCAAGAACCAATTTATAATAATTTATTTTATGTTACCAGGAACGTGAAATATGATGATAGAAAGACGGGGAGTGTTGACTGATTACTCCTTATATACTTACTCCATCCATTTAATTCAACCCCCACTCCACTCACTCCCATCCCTCTAAACAACCCTCCACGCTAATTGGTGATCTGGCGCGACAGTCAGGGTAGTTCTGTTATAGGTTTACGTTGTCCGGATATTTATTGTGTTTCGTGTAAAAGTCCGTAAACTGTATCGGTATTACACTTGTCTTTTTTTTTTACATACATCACGGTAACGAATATCCGTACAAGCGTTAGTGTGGTTTATGTGCGTATGGGGATATGGTATGTAATCTCACTCGATCGTTTCAATTTACTTCAGTTTCAGTTCATAGACGCTGTTTCATATTGTGTATCTGTGTTTCTTTTCTTTTTTTAGGTATTTCTGTTTCGTTTTTAGGTATTATTGTGTCATTATACGTACTCCTGTTTCATTATACGTACTCCTGTTTCATTGTACGTACTCCTGTTTCATTGTACGTACTCCTGTTTCATTGTACGTACTCCTGTTCCACTTTTACGTACTCCTGTTTCATTGTACGTACTACTGTTTCATTATACGTACTCCTGTTCCACTTTTACGTACTCCTGTTTCATTGTACGTACTCCTGTTTCCTTATACGTACTCCTGTCTCATTGTACGTACTCCTGTTTCATTATACGTACTCCTGTTTCATTATACGTACTCCTGTTCCACTTTTACCTACTCCTGTTTCATTATACGTACTCCTGTTCCACTTTTACCTACTCCTGTTTCATTATACGTACTCCTGTTCCACTTTTACCTACTCCTGTTTCATTATACGTATTCCTGTTTCAATTTGCATTCTTCTGTTTCATTTCACATTATTTTATTTGCCTCGATTCCCTGGCGTATCTTAGCGTTTCAGTTCACTTGGTTTAGTTTCATTTACCATATATCGTCATATACCGTATGTTTCAGTTGATATATGACCAGTTTCTTGTTATTTTCTTTTTTTAATTTTATATCACACTACAACACGTTTCATTTTGTATATCTCGTGTCATTTTATATTGCCTCTTTCACTTCATTTCATATCACCTGTTTCACTTCATTTCGTATCACTGTTTCAATTATGTATTTTGTGTGCATTTATCTCTTTCATAAACCATTACAATATTTATATGACCGCTTTTTGATATAACATAACAGGGATTAAAATTATATAACGGTGGATTAATATGATATAACCGGTGTTTCTGTGTCATAACCAGTGTTTCAGTGTCATATAACCGGTATTTCTATGTCATATAACCAGTGTTTCAGTGTCATATAACCGGTATTTCAGTGTCATATAACCAGTGTCTTCTTGTGTCACTTACTACATGTTCAATAATTATGATACAACATCTGTTTTATGTCTCATCTATCGTATTGTTTACACTGAAAACACAAAACAAACAAACACACAAACACACCACACGTCTTTCCTGTTTACATTACCAGACCCTCCTTAACAAACACCAAGTCAATAGATCTTTTTATTTAGAACACGTATCAACTTAGAATTCATTGGTAGTTTAGCCCAGAGACAGGGGGGAGAATATACATTGATTGCCTTGGTGTTGTGTCCGGGAGGGATATAATTTTCACTGAACGACGACGACTTGCAGATAGTGAAGATTCCTGTGAGAGTTTTGTCTAGTTGCAGTAATATTTCTTGGGTTGGGTTGGGTTGGGTTGGGCTGGGTTGCTGGTTTGGGTTGGGTTGGGCTGGGCTGGGTCAGGTTGGGTTGGGTTGGGTTGGGGCTGGGCTGGGCTGGGTTGGGTTGGGTTGGGGTGGGGCTGGGTTGGGTTGGGCTGGGTGGGGGGTTGCTGGGCTGGGCTGGGTTGGGTGGGCTGGGTTGGGCTGGGGCTGGGTTGGGCTGGGCTTAAGTCTATGTTAGGTTGGGGTAAGTTAGATCGCCACCTCTGCCAGACACCACACCACACCCCCCCCCCTTATGAACTGTAATATAAGGAGTGTCAGCCTTTGTAAACCATAGCCAACACGAAGACTCATCAGTGAAGCAGATGAATAACTTAACTATTCCCTCCTAAGAGACATCATAAGCCTGGGCATATAAGAACGATTTAAGGGACACTGAAATTAAGGCAAAATGGTAAATGGTTCATATGAATAATGGAATGAGTTGAGAGAGAGAGAGAGAGAGAGAGAGAGAGAGAGAGAGAGAGATAATATATATTGCATATCTACATCAGACAGCAGTATATCTGTTTAAGATATGTATACCAGATCTGTAGGGAGAGTTGTGTATAAAATATATTCGTCGACAAGTTGGAGGAATAATACTCTATGTTCAAATTGGAAGTAAGGTTATTTTTTTTCTATGTAGGAATAACAAGTGAACAAATTATTCTGTTCATTTTCACCAGGCGATAAATTAATGTACAGGCAAAGATAACAAACACAAGCTCCTGGGATGGTGAGAGGGGGACAGTTCACGTTCTTATACCCTACATTATAAACACATCACGTTTATAACACGTCCCTGGGTCACTTTAGGTTAGATACAGTTTATGGATGAGATAATTACCTGGATTAACATATATATATATTAAAGGTTGAAATTCTATTGTATCATATTAAGACATTGTGAATCTATATTAGAATCAGGTAATATATCATAACTTTAATATAACGTAATAAAAAAAAAAAAATATGGTTTTTAACGTTAAGTATATACGCCTAAGATGACGTGACGTAATGATAGGTAACACGACAATAGCCAGAGAATATACCTGACATAATATAGTATAGTTGCCAACACTTATGATTATACGGAAAAAAAATGAATTCAATGGTGTTTAATTACTTCATTTAACTTACCTGTTTTAAATTTTGGTAAAGGTGAAGTTTCAGATTATGTTATATAGTTTAATAGTATGGTGATTTACCTTTCTACCTCTAGCATATGATAAGCAATTGATCATAGAAACTTTGTGAAAAAAAACCCCTCATGATTTTTATTAACGAGACAAATTATATTCCTCTGAGTGGCTAGTACATAATGGTATATAATTTTGATATTTTAGCACCTGACAGAAAATTATAGGTGTTTCCAAAAGTATATTATTATTACACTCGATATAAAACTGTGTAGAAGACTCTCTCAACAACCAATAATTACGAAAAACTACGTATGATAATAATTAATACTCGCTTGTGTCTGTCTCTCTCATATTACTGTAAAGGAACATCATGATCTGATAACTGTATTTACTATTTTCTTGCACAGTTAAGCCTTATTGAGTGAGGCTTAACATATCATCACGTATAGATAAGAGTGAGTCAGCAAAAATATCTCCACTCGGGGTCAACATTCACTAGAGGTCTAAGGTTGTCTTTTTAAATACCACATAACATTATAACATTTTTTCCTACTTTGTTTGTTCCATTAAACATAAATTTCTTTTATAATTTATCGTCTCATTCAATAATGTTTTCATATTCCAGGTAAAGATTTTTGGTTCAATGGATTATTAAGATTTTGGTCGTCAATATTTTATCTATGTACGTTGTGTTGATATATATTATTCTGCTGAGTATTGGAGCTGCATTACTGGTACCCCGTGTCTCGGTATGTGTGTGTATGTGTGTGTGTGTGTGTGTGTGTGTGTGAGCAGTAGTGGGCGCCATCTTATTGTT